ATTGTTCAATATATGATCCAAAGAATTACTTATTGTTTAAATTTTATAATTGATCATTTGAAAACTAACCTTGAATATAAAATATGGAGTAGATATGGTAATTGGCTTCTTTGACACCCCTCCATATGTAACCATAGTACCACCTTGCCTTAAAAATAATAAAAATAATATTGTAAATCTTCAATATTTATCTTCAAATAAATAAAACGTACGTATATATTATTTTCGATATACTCTCAATAATTGTTCAATATATGATCCAAAGAATTACTTATTGTTTAAATTTTATAATTGATCATTTGAAAACTAACCTTGAATATAAAATATGGAGTAGATATGGTAATTGGCTTCTTTGACACCCCTCCATATGTAATCAATATACTACCTTGCCTTAAAAATAATAAAAATAATATTGTATATCTTCAATATTTAACCAAAAAAAAAAAAGTAAAAACTTTAAACTTTGAAGAAAACAATAATTTAAAAAAATAAAAAAAGTATCACACTTCAAGAATTTTACCACCATATTAGCTGCATTTCCACCAATACAATTCAAACCCAAACTAGGTTTAGGTATATCACCCTACAACACATCATCGATCGTTACAACATATTAAAAAAAAAAATACACTCGTTGATTATTTAAAAAATAATTATAATGTTCGTATATAAAAGTTAATTTCATACCAGGAGATTTTTGACACCTTTGACTTCAAGTTCACTTTCAGTAAATACTTTATTAGCGCCAAATTTAATTAATTTTTCTTTAATTTTATCAGATTCAGGTTTATCTCTTATGATATTAATGCTATGAATTCCACGAATTCGAGCTAATTGAATAACGCATTGCCCTACTATGCTTGTAGCTCCATTTTGAACAATTGTGTCCCCTGTTTAATCGAAAAAAAAACTAATTAATTTTTAAATCAAATTAAAATAATTAAACATGTTTTTAATTAGGAAATTTAAATAATAAACCTGATTTTAAAGCCACAAAGTCCTCAAGCATTCTCAAGGCACTCAAAGGATTAACAGAAATAGTGGCAGCATATTCAATTGGAGTGTTTTTGTCTATTTTGTACCATAAACTTTGATCTTCTACCACATAGGTTTGCCATGTCCCTGGAACATAAAAGACATAAAACTAAGAGTTCAGAATTTGAATTTTACGAGTTTTTTTTTTTTTTTGGTAAATGCGCTTTTCGGAAGGAAAATCATAATTTTTTATGTGTCTAGCGCTTTCATCAGTTTGTTTTGTAAATGTGCTTTTGGGAAGGAAAATCAGAATTTTTTATGTGTCTAGCTATTAAATGACATTTGACACGAAATGTTATTTAAATAATCACATTAAATATAAATGCCAATAATATTATGACATGCCTATATAACTAGGGTCACTACATAAAAAATGATCTATAACAATAATTAATTAATGATAATAACTTAATTGCCACTAAATATGTATTTTTAGCAGTAATTCGTTAAAAGTTATTTTTATTGTAGTGGGACTGGGAGGAGCACTCTTATATTAACTTGTAGAACAAAATTATTGAATGCTTACAAAATAAAAGTAGTAACTTTTACCTTAATTAATCGATATATGGTGACGTGACCTTCATATCAATAACTTAAAAATTGCAAAGTTAAGGTGAGCTTAAGTTCGACCCTTTGTTTCAGTTTGCAGCCAATAATGGTTGGAAATTTTAAAGCAACATTTGCATAGTTTTAAAAAAATGTCATTAATTTTACACGGAGAAAACATTTTACAAATGTCGTAAAAAAAGTTATTTTGATATTGGCAAAAATTTAATTTTAATGTGACAATTTATAAAGGTCACAAATAAATGTCGTAAATTGTTTTTTGAAAATAATTTAAATATAAAAAAATAAGTGACATTTTATATATGTCATGAATAAAGGTCGCTTATTAATTATCAACATTTCTTTAAATGTCCGAAAATTCTCGACAATCAAATGTCGGTAAGTAGTTTTGCGATATTTAAACTGCCTAATACGATTTTTACATAATGTCGTTGTATCTCCATTTTTTTTGTAGTGAATAATACAACTCAATTGACCCTTTATTTAAAAGAAAACTAGAAAACCTCAAATAACAGGTGCATCAACAAAAGTATGGAAAACGGCCTATAATATGTTATTTAAACTCATTTTTCAGTTTTCATGTTGTATCTATGTACAATGTACACTCAACCTTGAAGATTATTCGAATATTCTTTAGAAAAAATTATAACAAAGCACAACTTCATGAATCCCCACCCCGCACCCCACCCCACAACCAAAATGATAGCTAGGAGTTTATTCACACCTTAACTAATTTCATAAAATGCCTAACATATTTTACTAACAATAGATAACAGATAACCATGTTCAACAAGACTATAACATGATAGTGACTTAATTTGCTCACACTTTGACTAATCTAATGAAATGTCTGACATATTCTACTAGCAATAGTTTTTTAAACTCATTTTTCACTTTTTATGTACATTCAACCTTATTCTTTAGAATAAAATATAACCAAGCACAACTTCATATAGTGTAATTTTCCTTCGAAGAAATCACAGAGTATTTTTTCCTTTATTGAAATTAATTAAACCTGCAACCTAGTAATTACTATATCAACTATTAGTTTGAAAAATATTCTTTTTTGCATTCTATTTTTTTTGTAACACTGATATTTTATATATATATATATATATAAAGGAGAAAAAGAGAATTTAATGGAATTAACCATCTATTCTGTTGATATCGGCGGGATTGATGGGAGCTGCAAGCATTTTCACGCACACCTCGTTCTCATTCATCTCCACCGGTGGAATCTTCGTAACTCTGTCGGAATTAGAATTTTCACGCCATATACACATTTAAGAGTAAATTTTACGGGTTTTAAACATACTTTTAAACAATTCTTACATATAACAGTTTATTTTTACAACTTGAAAGTTTAATTCTACTGCTATAACTTGAAAATATTAGTCTAATATATGTTATATATTAAATTTTCAATTCGTAGAATGAGTGTTTTTAAATTTTTGAGGGTGATGATTAATTTTTTAGATTAGGATTGAATAATTTTCAGATTTTTTATTTAACAAACAGTTTCACTATTTATCTTCGTCTCCGGCGAATAGCTCGCCGGAGCTCCGATGAGCCACCCAATCATAACATTGCTGGAACAACTACACAACCCCCTTTACATTGTATTAAATGACATTTGACACGAAATGTTATTTAAATAATCACATTAAATATAAATGCCAATAATATTATGACATTTGTTTCAAATATCATATCATTTGACTCTAAGTACCAACTTTTACACCTAATGTTGAAAATTAAGATTTTTAAAATTATTTTGGCACTCTTATATTAACTTGTATTTTATAGATCCTCAATCAAACAAGTTAAATAAATCTAGTTATTAAAACGGAAAATAAAAATATAATCAGCTGATAATATGACTTCTCATTCCCACATGGCATGCCAATACTAATTACTTTTTTTTCTACTGCCACATAAACTAAATCCCTAAATCTTAAGTACTCTTTTTTTCCCCTCATTACATTATTTTCATAAACGATTTCACCCCTTCTCCCTCATTTCGTAGCTAGGTTTCACAACTTCTCCCAACCTAGCCGCGAAACGAGGGAGAAGGGGTGAAATCGTTTTTGGAAAATAATGAAATGAGGGAAAAGAAAGAGTAATTAAGATTTAGGAATTTAGTCTATGTGGCAGTGGAAAAAAGCGTAATTAGTATTGGCATGACATGTGGTATTCACATGGCATTTTACAACTTTCGTTAATAAGAATGGTACTTTTGACCAAATAGTTTGACGGGAAGAGTAGTTTTGAGCCGAAATATAGTTTAAGGGTATATATGAGCTATTTCGAATAGTTTAAGGGTATTTATGACCCCTTTCCGTTATTATTATTATCATTTTACATTATAAGTAGCTGCATTTTCCCCAAATGTTTCCAAGTGAAAACTTAAAAACACTTTAATACAATACATCAAAAATTTGTAGGATAATGTTTTCTCGTCACTCAAATTTGGTCGTCCCTAAACAAACCTCCGTCGTAAACTTCCTGGCCACCATGTCTCCGCCATCCACCGCCGTTGTCTACGACCAACACGGCCCGCCCGACACCGTCACAAGGTCCGTTCTAGATTCACAATGTCCTCCTACCACCACCCTTGCGTTGTAAAAAATTATATTATATATATACAATTAATTTTTTTTATGTATATATAATATATGTTTATTTATTTTTTTATATTTTAAATCATGTTAGTGAAAATTCTAATTCCGACAGAGTTACGAAGATTCCACCGGTGGAGATGAATGAGAACGAGGTGTGCGTGAAAATGCTTGCAGCTCCCATCAATCCCGCCGATATCAACAGAATAGAGGGTTAATTCCATTAAATTCTCTTTTTCTCCTTTATATATAAATATATATATATATTATATAATATCAGTGTTACAAGAAAAATAGAATGAAAGAAAGAATATTTTTCAAACTAATAGTTGATATAGTAATTACTAGGTTGTAGGTTTAATTAATTTCAATAAAGGAAAAAAAACTCTGTGACTTCTTCGAAGGAAAATTACACTATATGAAGTTGTGCTTGGTTATATTTTTTTCTAAAGAATAAGGTTGAATGTACATAAAAAGTGAAAAATGAGTTTAAAAAACTATTACTAGTAGAATATGTCACATTTCATGAGATTAATCAAAGTGTGAGCAAATTAAGTCACTATCATGTTATAGTCTTGTTGAACATGGTTATCTGTTATCTATTGTTAGTAAAATATGTTAGGCATTTTATGAAATTAGTTAAGGTGTGAATAAACTCCTAGCTATCGATTTTGGTTGTAGGGTGGGGTTGTGGGGGGGGGGGTGGAGATTCATGAAGTTGTGCTTGGTTATAATTTTTTCTAAAGAATATTCGAAGTGACTTCAAGGTTGAGTGTACATTGTACATAGATACAACATGAAAAGTGAAAAATGAGTTTAAAAAACATATTATAGGCCGTTTTCCAAATTTAAAATGCAACTTCAAGTTAAATATAGAACTTCCATAATTGAGAAAAAGAAGTTAATAAAATAGTGAATAATTTTAATAATCGAGTCCTTAATTTTACTAATAATTGCAGGAGTGTATCCGGTACTGCCACCAACACCTGCAATAGGGGGATGGGAAGGTGTTGGAGAAATACATTCTGTGGGCTCTGCTGTTATGGCTTTTTTCCCCTGGAGATTTGGTTATTCATGCCGCTTATCTTTCAGGTAATTATTCAAACTATAGCTATATTAGATAATTACGTGTCAAATTATCATGAAATAGGATTTAAGTTACAAGTTTAGCCAGTATTCTCAATAACTTTAGTTCAAATCTTATATATGATTATGAAATAAGAAATAAATTTAGAACATGAGATTTTGTACCAAGAACATTGGCTTTTTAGGTCGATCTTCTGTGCAATCATCTTCGTTTAGTTTACTATTTAACGTCCTCCCAGTCCCACTACAATAAAAATAACTTTTAACGGATTGCCGCTAAAAATACATATTTAGTGACAATTAAGTTATTATCATTAATTAATTATTGTTATAGATCATTTTTGATGTAATGACCCTAGTGATACAGGTACAACCCAAAAGCTTCCTCTTTCATATTGATGAAAGCGCTAGACACATAAAAAATT